AAACCTCTACTGTCTTGCCCATTGCTCCCCTCAGCAGTGTATTTCAGTACATCTGTCTGTTCTGCTCCCCACTCTGTGTCTGGTGAATCCTCTCACCCCTGCACTTTGGACCTGTTCCCCAGTTCTATGCAAAAATAAATAAATAAGTAAATAAAGTTCCTGAACTTAATGTGATTTCACTGTTTAAAGTAAGTTAATCCTTACTTTAAGTAAATTTAAAACTTTTATGGATCATTAATTATGCAAGCAACAAAATTTAAACAAAAAGAAATATCAGCATTATAACAAGGGAGGTGATCTTGTTCTCTTACTCCTAATGTGAATCTCACTAGATTGCTCACAGATGTTGTTCCAGATATTTTCCTAAACATTTTCACCCATAAATGTATTCAAAGGAATCTAAAGTGTCTGTACACAATGGCAGTGTTCTATTATTGTTCTACTTTTCTGAACCATATTAATACTGCAGATATTTTTGGAACTCATAGGTTGGTCTTATTCTTTTTAATTGCTGCATGGTATCTCGTAATTTGAATATGATAAATAATCTGCTATTTCTCTTAATGTTGGGTTTTAAACAATTTTCATTTTTGCCATGACTATGTTGCATGGATCAATATCCTCCAGTTTTCTAATGACCCTTAATGTCTGCTTCCCTATTCTGGATGCTGAAAGTATAATCACGTTAGCACAACAGTTTTCTAATGACCCTTAATGTCTGCTTCCCTATTCTGGATGCTGAAAGTATAATCACGTTAGCACAACAGAGGAGTTTTCAAATTTTAATATTAGCAAGTTGTCCTTCAGAACATTAATTCATATTTTTCCTAATAGAATATATTAATTTATCAAACTGAGTCAGCAATTAATTGTTCAAACCTTTACTTTTTTTGACAACCTGAAAAGCAAAATCAAATTATTTCCAAATAATCTCGAAATTACTGAGGGTAAGCATATGTTAATACATTGATTGATTGATAGTTTATATATTTCTTAATCGCTTGTTCATCCTCCCCTCCCTACATTTTCTATGTTGATACTTGTCTTATTGATGTGTACAAAATTTGAGTAAAGTTATGTCACATGCTGCAAATTTTTACTCTTTATTAGTTTGGTCTTATATACCTACTCTCAAAAGTTCCTATAATATACAAATAGACCAAGATTCAAGATATAAGCTCTTGTGAGCAACACAAATAACTAAATCTACTTCAGTGTGGAAAAACCTTAGTAGTTCTTGGCATCTGAGAAACAACTTCTTAATTTTCTGCGCAATCTTGTACTTTTTATTTTTTATTTATAGACTAGTCTATAATAATTATGAGTTCCTGTTTGTAAAGTGAATTCCCAGCATTTATAAAGAATCTTACTATTCATAGGAATGAAAGGAATCATAAGACTTTGAGATCAATTTTTTTTAAATATTGTTTTTCCTTCATATTCATTCAATAATTCTGTATGTGGTAAAATAACTAAGGGGGAGAAAACTGCATGCATTTAACACATCTATTTCATATCAATTGGAGCTTTGCAAAAAAAAATATATAGAAAAGATACTTACTTGCCATCTTTGAACCAATGAATCTCAGGGAAGGGTGTGCCTTTGACTTGGCATTCAAGGGTGGTGTCATGGCTGAGAACAACTGATACTTCATTTGGGGAACTGGCACCTATTATAGTGGGTGGGACTTGAAAAAAGACATTTTATCATGAAAATCTATAACTTAGCAAAAGAAAAGAGAAGGGAGCAAAAAATCAGCAATGATTATAGCATTTCAGTAAGACCTTGTGTTAAAAGTAAAATACTACATAATAATCCCTTTTCACATAATGTCAATGTCATAGAAACACATTTATGAAAGCTATTCTAGTAGGACAATTACCTGGAAAATTGTGATACTATAACATTCATACTGAGGACTCTTGTACAAATGGAGTTGAGAATATAAGTGAATAGTAAAACTCAGAGAACAATAAACACTTCCAGACATTTTAAATAATGAATGACACTGCCAACATCAATCTTACAATGTTAAAATTCTACATATTACACCTCCTTGTTTATCTTAAATTCTACATATTACACCAGAGTCTTTATTGAATTACATTATCCTTGTCTATCTTAAAAGACTCCTGGGGCAAAATTGGTATGTGATGAAATGAGAACAAGACTAGTTTTTATCCTCAAGATTATCAAGCATATGAAAGACCTTCAAGTACTCTTCCTTCACAAAATGTTTAAATGTTTGGTTTTCATTTTCAGAGAAATGACCAGCAAGTAAAGGGTTTGTGTTTTAAGACCTCACGGCTGCAGAATGAATAGTGGATTTGAGTGACAGTGTTTGAAGGAGAGGCCATTGCAGTTGTCCTGCTTGTAAATGATATTTTAGCAGTGGAAATAGAAAGAAGGGGATAACTGAATATGGAATTAAGAAGCAGGCTTAGTAGGTAGTAGATCGAAGGGAGAGGGAGTAGGGAGGAATGAAAGTCCTGTTCCAAGAGAACTAAGTGAATGGGCAGAGGTGCTGGTGAATTTGAGGGGGTTACCAGAACAGATGTCTGTTTGATGTTTCACTAAGAGAGTCCAGTGATGATACTATAGAGATTCTGAATATAGATACTGTCGTTTGAGCACACATACAAAAAAGTCTGAGCTGAGATAAAAATTGAGAAATTATTGACATACAGGTGGAATCTATAGTAAATAAGTGCCAGGAGAAATGATGCTAGTGATATTAATGATAGAAAGGTTACTTTGTTTTCATAAGCTACATTTAAATATAATAATTGGACTCACTTGTAGAGGAAATGTGAAGTACTTCAGTATTTCAGATCACTAATGAGAGGGATTATTTTTATGTTACAGCAATTTATGGCTGGTAATGTTACTGCAATTCATATATCTCGCTTCTACCCCAGACTTATGAATCATAAGCCCATTTTGAAAAGTAAAATACTGAATCAAGACAAAGTAATTTTATCACAAAGAGAACTTTATGTAATAAGATCACAAATGAAAGTTAAAAAAATTTAAATGTATGATTACTAGTAAAAATTAAAAATCCTTTGTATCCCAATGTATTACAACCACTATTGCTATCATAATTCTCCTCATAATTAGGCTTTTAACTAGGAGAAAAAAGAACAAAACTGGAGGTATTATACTCCCTGACTTCAACCTTTACTACAAAGCAATAACAGTAAAATTTATGGAAATGGAGTAAAAGCAAATACAGACCAATGAACAGACTTGAAGACAAGAAATAAACACAAATACACAGGAACAACTAGTTTATGACAAATGAGCAAAGTGCATATTATAGAGTAAGGAAAATCTCTCTATTAAATGTTGTTGGAAACTGGACATCCACATACAAATATTGAAACTATATCAGTATCCAATGCACAACAATGGACTCAAAATGAACATTTGAATGTAAAGCCTGAAGCTATAAAACACAAAGAAGAAAAACCAGTAATACAGTTTATGAATCAACATTACATGTACTAAAAGTTCACTACTAACAGTCCAGTTCTATCCTTTACTATACTCTTGACTCTTCACCCCATTGCTCTCCCTCTCTTCCCACTTCTTTTCTGATAACTGCTACTCTTAAGTTTACTTTTGTTTTATTTAGTTTACTTATGTTTGTTTTCTCTATAAACCATGTATAATGAAATAAAATTATCTTTGACTAATCACTATTAAAGACAAAAATAATAATATAGTGTCATGAATGATATTTTCTAATCAATTTACTTTTTATCTCTGTACTCTTTCTTATAGCCAACTATGTTTTTAAAAGGCCAGCTATGGGCCCTCCCTGGTGG